GGACAAAACGCTCAACCCACCAAATAATTGGGGAAAAAAGTAAGAACCCCCAAACATTTTCTTTGCCTGAATTTCCAAGATCATTCAGGCACTGGACAGTTTGGTTGTTTTTTTTTTTTTAATTTAAAATAGGAGTCTAATTTGCTGGTACTTACAGAAATGTAGGATGTTTTTTGTTTTCTTTGATTGATCATTTTAAGAATTCGGCCACAAATTTCCTGATTGTTCAAGGAGCAGGAGAGCTAAAATCTCTGGAGAGGGTGTGGAGAGAAGGGAGTTCACATCCTTCTCCTGTGATATAATATTCTTTGCCTCCTCTCTGATATACTGAGCTCAAACCCTGTGAGTGTTCACATTGCCAACTCCCCCAAATGTGGAGGAGTAAGAGAGTTACCCATGCCTTAGACACGGAAAGAGGGGAGTGAGAATGAGAGGTGGGGGAAAGGAAGACCTGTTCTGGAGGGATCTGAGGTCCAGGCCCGGGCTGGGGACCCCTCCTCTTGTATGGGGTGGGGGGTTGAAATTCACCGGTATTCTGCTCCTTTTCGAATTGAGGCTAATCTCTGAACAGGAGGGGATCCTGCAACCCCTCTCCCTCTCCAGGGGGAAAAGACCAGTTCCAGGTTTCTCAAAACCACACCAGGAGCTTTGGATTCAGTGGTGTGCAGAGAGATCAGGATTCAGGGTCTAGCAAATCCAGAGCTTGGATCTGCTCTAGCTATAAGCAGAGCTCAGTGCGAGAGGACAGACTGCCTCCATTCTGATATGTATAGGGGTCCTGGGGGCCTAGGATAGCCATATATGTCTCTACGTACTGATCAAAGGGCCCCCAGCTCTACATATGGACAGGGATATTTTCATTGGGAGGTATAAACCTAAAGACCCCTAAGGTGGGCCTGAAATTCCTCTGCATCCGGGATTGGAGCAAGGGCAGATGGTTTTAAAAAAAGTCACTGAATAATGTTAGAAAGCATAGAAAATAACATCCTTGTCAATATTATAAGATTGCTTAATGTAACACAAGAGAATACCAGGGTGGGACCCATATTAGATATCCCCATTTCTGGCTGCCAGAAGACTTAAAGTGATAGAATTTTAGTACACTATTGTGCATTACTCAGTAATGACTAATATTTTTACATTATATGATTTGTTATTAACCTAATATGAAATGCGTAATAGTACTTTTCTAGAAGACAAGCAACTCATGTGTAGACATACAATAATGTGTTGTGGAAATATGACCCTTTAATTCCCCATCTCACCAGAGGGGAAGCTTCTTGGAAGATGGGGAACTCCTGGAGCATTGGTAGCCATGCTAAAGGGCTGAAGGGCAGAGGAGCTGATGCCCACCAGGCCCACCTTGGGTGGAGGCATGGGTCTAGAGCAATGGGCAATGGGTTTAGTGTGAAGAGGTGAAGAGAGAGCTGCTCTGTCATCCTGTGTATGCATGTAGGGCAAGGTGGAGATGAAGGATTGGAGAGAAGCTCAGAAATATCTTTGAGCAAAATAAACATCTTAAAGATTCCCAGAAAGAAAGAACCTGCAAAAAATAAACACTTTTTTTGGTCACAGCCTCCTAGAAAAAAAAATCTTTGAAAAAAATACAGCCAAACAGATGTATACACTTGCAAAATATAGCATGAAAGTGAATATAAAACACAGTGTGCCTCAGGAGCAGTGTGCTCACACACTCGTGTGGAAATAGAATCGGGCTGGTGTATCTCAGTGAGTGCAGAGGTCCAGGCAAAAGGCAGATGAAAAAGAAATTATCTTCAGACACCCTCCATCTTCCTACCCACACAGAGATCTTTTAGAAGTAGTGAGATTTCCAGATAACTCTGTCTATGCAATTGTGGTTTGTTCGGCAGCATCTAGGCATAAACACTGCTGTCTCTCTTCAGCGCCTCTGGCTCTGAGAAACCTCATCTATGGCAGTCTGGGCTGGTGTGGGAGATGAAGGCAATTGTTCAGAAAGATCCAGATAATTAGGGCCAAGATGAGTTGTGGCTTCTTCCTTTGCCCAATTATACAGACCCTTGCTTCACTGCTCTTTGTTTTTCTCCCTATAGTGAGGGTAGACAATTTTTTTTTATTTTGACAGAGAGAGGCAGAAATTCCAAGAGAGAATCAGGGACAAGAGGTGGGCTGGGTGGAGACAGGGAGAGACAGACACAGATAGGATTGGGGGAGAGAGTAACAGAGAGAAAGAAAGGGGCTCCTTGGGCCACACTGAAAGTTCCTACTGGCAAGCCTTTGGAGTTTGGTTGGGAAGAACGGCTAGGATTTCTAGCCGAACAGGATCCTCTTCGGAGCCCAGAGCCCTATTGTGGGAGTGGGTGGTCAAGAGCGAGTGGGCAGTAGGAACTCATATACAGGACCCCAAGAAAGAGCTATGGCTGAGTATTGATCTGATTTTTTTATTTTCTCCTCAAAAGTGTCTATAAGGTTCCCAGGTATGAAATGGTGTGTGTATGTGTGTGTATGCGCGTGTGTGCGCGTGCGCGCGTGCTCTGAAGGGAGATTAGGGAAAGGCTGATAGTAAAATTATAGCCAAGTGCCCTACTTACTTTAGGCAGCATAGATACAACTCAAGGTCTGAGCTTCCAGATGTCTCCACATCTGTAGATTCCACTTCCTTTCCAGACAAGACAGCAGGCAATGAAAGGGGGCTTCTTTGAGAAGGCAAGAGTGAATGTATTTCCCCAGGAGGCCAAAACAACCAGCAGTTTGGTCTGATCCACAAAAAAACTTGGCCAAATCAACACTTGGCATCCTGTAGAGAAAAACAGCCTGTTTAGACTGGTTACCTATTATTTTAGACTGATTTCTTGGAGTTTGTTGATTGAACCTCATTGGAAATTTATAGTTGGGGAGACCCAAAATTAGGTAGATAATTGTGAGCATTTCCAGAAAATGAAATAGGGATAATTATTTGGTTAATTAAGGAACCAAACCTCACTTTTATTCCATTTGTTCTCCAGGGAAAATGAGGTATTTTAAAGCTAAATAGTACCAGATGACCTATTTCCATTTTAGAACTTACTGTGTCATTATGTTGAGTCAAAAAAATCTAGATTTAAAATCTGGCTCTGACACTTAAATTATTTTACCTACTCTGAGCCTCAGGTTCCTTATCTTGTAAAATGAATTTAATAAAATAAACCTGAAAAAAATGTTCTGAGGATTTAAAAAAAAACAAAACCTCTTGGTACCATTACTCACCCTCTCTGTTTTGCTATTCTTCCAGAATGATCTATTTCTCAAATCATAGTTACATCTGTGAGAGTAAAACACACTTGAGAACTGAGAGACTAAAAAATTTGTCTGGTACAAAAAAATCCTTCTTAACCTAAAGGATCTTCTCTGTTAAAGTGAAGTTATTTTGTTTTTCAGATTTAAAAAAAAAAACTTGGCCTCTTCCTACATAGGCAGAGAAAAGTGACAAGTCCAAAAATTTCCCGAGAAATTGTTCTTGTCATCATGAAGACAGCCACACCAGGCCATTGAAGCCGCCTCTGTCTCCTATATTCTTTCCGTGCCCTTCACTCCCCCCTGCATCCTGTGTAGACAAGGCTCCCTGGGAGAGAGCAGACCCAATGAGAAAGGATGTAGGGAAGGTGTTTCATGAAGGTGGGGTGAGAACGAGCATTTCAGGAAGAGCTTTGTGTCCTCATTCTGGACTATCTACACTTCCGAAGGGCAGTAAGAACGAAGGAGAAACCCCAAATATTCAGTCCTCCTCATGTAACAATTACATTAAAAAAATTGAGGGTGAACTAGATAATCTCCCTAGTTCCTCACTTCCCCTTGGAAGTGTGTCTATGGCTTTTTTTTTTTCCTGTGCCCTTTTATTGACAGAGGTGAGGGTGGAGTGGAAGGGGGGATATAAGTGACACACATTGCCTTTAGCTCCTGTGGAATTCTTAGCACATAAAGAAATCGAACTAGTAGTGGGATGACAAGGAATTTAGAGTTCAGGATTAGGATTCCTGCATGGGATGGAGACAGTTTCTTTAAGTCTTGGAGGAATGAAGAAGATAGCGAATTGGAGCAGAATTTGCTGTTTTGGTGAGTGGACATTTGTAGGGGTAAAGAGGGGCATTGATTTCTTTTTATAGAAGACTTATGTGAACAGTAACCCAAGAAGGGCTCTTCTGTGGGCACACCCTGGGGTGTGGATTCTTTACTTCTAAGGACCTGATTCCCTGCATCTCAGTGCCAGGACTTCCCACCTTGGATGTTGTGACTCACGACATTGGACCTCTCATGACATTGGACCTCTCATGACATTGGACCTCTTGGGCAGTCTGGCTTCACCTGGAAGCTTTTCTTCTTCTATCTATTGGTGCAGGCCTCAGATTTCTAGTGCGGAGCCAGTGACCAAAATTATGAAGCCCCACTTGGTGGTCTGTGCCCGCTGAAGCTGTCTCCCTGCCCACCATGCCATGACTTGCCCTCCCTCAAACACGCAAAAGAACACCTTCCTCTGATAATCGGGCAGAGTATAAACTGACTGATGCTTAAATGATCTAAGTGCAGGAAGGAAGGGTTTGCCTGAATACCTGCAATCCCGCAGGCTGGCAGACTGGGAAGGGATTCAGAGGGACCCCTTGAAGGGTACAAGGGTTCTAATCAGGAGTACTGTGCAGAGCCATAATGGAGGCTGAGGCAAAAGGAAAAATCAATAATACTGGCCCTGTATTTATTGACAATTTTGATATTTTGTTCATCATGGATTTTTTGCATTCATTTATATGTGTTTTAAACATTGCGTTAAAATATTACTTATCTTGGTTATTAACGTTTGGGCACTCTCTACTTTAAAGTTTGCTCCAGAGGCAATACCCCAGGGGTCTCACCTTGGTTGTGGCCTTGCTAATAATAGAGGTGCAAAGGATTTGAGGACAGTTCTCCCACCCTCTGAGTCCCCACAGGAACCTCGTGCCTGGCCCACCACGTAGCTTCAAGGCCCCTCGCTGGGTCCTGGGTCCAGCCCGTGACTCACTTTCTGCCGCCCGCCTTCTCTCTCCCCCCAGACGTGGTTCCCTTACAGCCCGAGGTGAGCAGCTACCGGCGCGGACGCAAGAAACGCGTGCCCTACACCAAGGTGCAGCTGAAGGAGCTTGAGAAGGAGTACGCGGCCAGCAAGTTCATCACCAAAGAGAAGCGCCGGCGCATCTCGGCCACCACAAACCTCTCGGAGCGCCAGGTCACTATCTGGTTCCAGAACCGGCGGGTCAAAGAGAAGAAGGTGGTCAGCAAATCGAAAGCGCCTCATCTGCACTCTACCTGACCACCCACCCGGCCACCCGCCCCATCTATTTATGTTGCTGATTTGTATCATATCTGAACCCACCGAAGGTCGCTTCTCGGGTGCAGACAAATATTTAATGTTAACCAGAAAGAGGAAAGGCACCGCCGAGGCCGAGGCCGGAGGCAGAGAATATCAGAGGGTGCGCTCTGCCGCCCTCTACTCCCCACCCCATCCTCAGCCTCCACCCCTGTGCAGTTGGGACCTACCGGGCCTTTGCTTTGGAGGTGGGTCTAGGTGGGCTGTGGGAGGAAGGCAGCCAGCCTTCACCCACTCTGGCTGTCACTCCTCGCCTGGCCAGAAAGCTGAGTGGCAGTGAAGAGCCAGATCATTCCAGCCAAAGCAGAGCTGGGGAACCCCAAATGACCCCATTCTTGCCACATCCTTTGCCCAGGCAGGTAGACGACCCTCCTGAGCGTGTGACGCGGGTGCAGGACCTGGTGAGCTCCTATCTTCCTCCCAGTCCGTCCTCCTGCTCCCTGTCCCTCCAGCAGGCACTCCTTAGTTAGGCAAGATTTCCCAGTTAAGATTTTCTGCATATTTTAAAAGTTACATTAATATTAATGGTAAGTATTAGGGATCTGGCATTGTGATTGGAATACAGACAGCACTTAGGTTTTCTTTCTTTCCTATCTGTTTCAACAAAAGCTGGAATTGGCCAAGGAGCCACCTACCCCCTCCCCAACCAAGAAACTGAGTTTCTCTGGAGGCTCCTTTGCCCCCTCGGCCTCATCTGTTCTGTTTGGCCTCTTTTCTGCTTCTCAGTCAACATGCAGACATCCAGGGAAGACAGAAACTCCCTCCACGCTGCTAAATATGTCTTCTCTCTTTCTCTTTCTCTCTCTCTGTGGTCAGGCTGAGGATCAGGCCAGGCACAGAAGCAGAACTTTTTGCTAAGGAAAGGAAAAACTGCTCTTCTAAGGGGATGGAGAGTAGGTCCCCCAGCAGAGTCCCTCTCCAGTTACTTCTTCATACCCATTGAAGCACTAGCTGAGAAAGCCTCACACTTTCACTTTTATTCATTGTTCGGAGGAAAGCGGTTTTAGTCCAGGAGGCCAAAATAACTGGCTCCCAATTAGCCAGCTAATGTAGATGCTGCCTAACATTTCCCTCCTCAAAGGCCAACTTGGTGCTGGGGGGTGGGGGGACTCACTTCTCCTTTCCCACTGGCACATGACAAAACAGTGTTCTTTTGAAATGTTCATCAAAAATAGGCTTTTAAAAAAATGTCGTGTATCTGTATATAGTATTGTGATGTCTGAATGACAATGTACTGAATGCAAAAAGGAAAAAAACCCACAAACCTGTTTTTAAAATAAAATCTCTTTTTTTTGCCTTGATTTTATCACTCAGATTCCTTCTGAAACTCCCTCTATCCACTGGCTCCTCAGGGCTCTGTTGCCCAGACTCAGCCAGGGTGGGCAGGGGAAAGGGTATAGGTATCACTCCCAGCCAGGTAGATCCCAAACTCATATTTTGTTCCACTTGAGTTTCTTAAGTGAGTTACTCAGGTTGTTGTTGCTATCTAGACAGGAGAAAACTCTTTCCTATCCTGATGCCCGAAATAGATGAGTATATCTTGGGGAGAGAAGAATGTAATCAGCAACTGGAAAGGCCTGGGAGCAGGTGAGTGAGGTCACTTCGGTTAATAGTCGGGGCTCAGATCCAGACCTGGGTTCTGAGAAAGTGACATCCTAGCTGGGAGCTGGATGCTGTGGCAGAGGCAGTGGTGGCAGCGGCGGCAGCAGCAGTGGGGTGCTAAATTTAGGCTCTTGGGGCCCTACTGCCCCAGAGCATCCCACATCCCTCCAGACAGTTCAGAGCTAGAACTTGGAAGGGGCCTCCACAGCCTGCCCTGCTGCCCTGCTGCCCTGCCACCTCAGCCTTCCCAAGCTGCCCTCTTTCCTTCCCCACCAACCTCTGCAAGAAGTTAGGGCCACTGGGGCCCCATGGACTCCCACTTCATGCAACCAGCCTCACTTTTATTCTGCAGCATCCCTGGGAGCCCCAGTCTTCCAGGCAACCAGGAGCTGTGTAGACTCTGCCACTTATTTGTTTTCCCTGTCACATCAGTCTGTGCCTATCTCCCTATCTGGCAGAGTTAATGAGATCGTTAAGTTGTCAGGTTAAGAGACTTTTAAAAAGCAATATAGCCTAAAACAATGTTATCTCAGATTAAATCTTTACTGCAGCAATTATATATAATATTTTCCCTCTCCTGAGACACAGAAAAACTGGAGGCACTGGGTTGGAAATCAGAGTTCTCTGATTTCCCTTTGCCAGATGGCTGAAGTTCTTGAAATTTTATTTAAATAAATATTTCCGGAGGTGAAACACACCCATGCGCGCGTGTGCACACACACACACACACACTCCAAGTCTGAAAGACAAAGAGCCCAAAGAATTCGCCCTCTGCAGAGGCTCTACCGCTGATGTGACTGCCAGCCCTGTTCCACTCCATTTCAACTCTGGGTTAACTGCCAAAGAATCAAACACTGAGCAAAACGGATTTAGGAGGTAATAGGTGAATCTCCCAGGAATAAAGTTCATTCTTAATTCTGTCTTCCCTTTCTCTCCCCACTCACCACCCTAACCTCTTTCCAGAACCTCTGTCTCCTCTGAGGTGGACAGAATTGTAGATTAAATGTGTGTGTTTGATCAGAAAAAGAAACCGAGTAGACAAGAGGCCCGGGGCTCCCTTGATATGGATCCCCACCTCTCTTGACTTGCGGGTACATTGGGTAGTCCCATAGCACAGCGGTAAGCATAGTGGAAGATGGAGACTCTGTGGGGAAAGAGAATTCTTGAGTTCTCTGAGGCATCCTTCTGCTTTTGCATACAAACCCACACGAAGTCAAATAAGCAAGTCTTCCCACACGGAGGGACCCGCCCTCAGGCTCCAGAAGGGGGTGATGGAAGAAAGAAGAAGAAAGCTTGCATAGGCTCTTTGGGGTTGCACCTGGACGCCGGTGACCGGGATAAGCACTGCAGTCCCTCTGAGTCCCGGTGAGCCCCAGTGTGCCAGGAGGTTAACACACCTCTCGTGCACTGGATTAAATACACCTGGAGGGATTTTGGAGGATTATCACGCCTGGATCATTCTGGAGATGCCTCTCCCATAAGAGTAAGTAAGCATGAGAATGGAAACTTCTGTGTGAGGCACGGATTGTGTGAATGTGTGTTCTGGGAAGATGAATTTGGGAAAAAGTAGGATTCCTTCTCTGATCGTGTTGGTCCCTTGCCTTTCCTTCCTTCAAGAGTTGGCGTTCTCATTGGGAAACTCTGTGAGGCATTCCTGCGAAGGGGTGTGCTGTGTGAGTGGAGAGACTCTGACCAGTGGAGAATTTTCTCAGCCTTTACCGCCTGTGTGCATGCATTTGTAGCAATGTTGTCAACCAGCACTCATCTCAGCGTGTACAGTGTGTTTTTTTCTTTATTCAAATCTATAAAAAGCCTTTCTTCCCAAAGCCAGTCTCCTAGTGTCTGTGTGAGAGTGAGGATGCTATAAATATGAGGATGCAAGTGAACAGAAAAGGTCTGAAGGGCTGGGAGCCCAGAGGCATCCCGGGAAATGGACAGACCTTCTCCTCTGGGACTGAAGCTCCTGTCATCTTTCTCATAATCCAGTGGCATTCCGCACTCCTCGTGGGCCTCCCTCATGACAGGGCTGGGGGACCTGGCTGAGCTGGGGCCTCACAGGACTCTCCGTCTGGAGGTCACTCTACCAGGCAGCCAGGGAGGGCTCAGTTAGATCTTTTCCTGAGCTTGGGGGGAAAATACCCTTCCCCAACCCACATCTTAGTCCTCAGACCTAGGGCCAGCAGAACGGGCCTGTCGGCCAGTAGTCAGTCCCACAGCCAGGAACCCACCTGAGGGAGCAAGGCCAGCGGTTCTTGGGAGATCCCTCCACGACTGTCTCCAGACCATCTGCTCCTGAGGCTGATCCACAGGCGGCTGGGTCAGCAGGCCAGTGTGGGTATAAGGTGGGGGACATTCCATCTCTCAGAGGACTGCAGCTGGGGACCCTGCGGCAGGCAGCTCCCTCTGTTCAGAAGAGAACTCCCCACCTAGGACCCATCTGGGTCTGACTTGGATGATGTGTCGGGAACCCACTCCTCAAAACCTCCAAGTGCCAGTGCCGGTTCAGGCAGATGTGTTTCCAGGCCAGCGCTGGTGGAGTATTGAGGGGCTCTGGGGAGCCAGGGGCTTCTGGGAGGAGGAGGGGGCCAGAGACTTTCTGCAACCAACCAGGCTCTTCCTCTTTTAGCCTTGACCGTGACTAGGTCTTTCTGACCTTGACATCACAGGGAGCACAAGGAAGGGGGGAGGGTGGAAAAGGCCTTGATCTTCCGGTGGCCAGAGAAGGGGAGGGCCCCTCGCCCCCTTGACGCGCCATCCCCCTTCCCGCCAGAGCCCGCCGCCTCTGTTTACACACAGAGGTGTCGTCTCCAGTCTAGACAGGGGCGCTAATAACGCCCATAAAAGGCGGCCTCTCCAGAGATGCTCTTCAACTCGGCTCCCGTGCGCCTACCGCTGGCCGCTGCCTCCGCCTCTTCCGCCCCGCCCTCCTCAGATACCTCCGCTGGGCCTGCAGGCCGCCTTGGGGAGGGGGAAACCTGGAGGGCTGAGAATCCCCACCCTGAACACTTCTGAACCTCCAGAGGTAAGTGGATCCCTGCTTCCCCAGCCCAGCCAGCCTCGGGGTTAGCGGTACATCCTCCCAACCCCACCAGGCTACCCGGTGGGTTGCCCCTACACCAATCTGCCTGTTCCTCCTCCCTTCCTCAACTGGAGGCTTGGATTTGAGAAGCAATTTGTAGCCGGACAGAGTAAACCCCAAAGCAGATCTCAGCCCCTCCCCAGAGCTAGGTCTGGCCAGAGGCCATGGTCACAGGGAGCCGCTGGCTGCGGGGCTGAGGGCAGACTGGGTCGACCTCACCCCATACCGAGCTTCGAGGTCCACGGAGATCCGGCCCCCGGCTCCCTACCCGTTGTTGTTGCTGGCGGCTGTAGGTGTGGCGTTTGATGAGAGGGTGCCTTTTTTTTTTTTAAACTTGGTCCCCACACCTTTCCTGACAGTAATTCACTAGGCGGAGGAGATCCTCTGCTGGCGGAGGGGGAAAATGTCAGAGCCCTGCAACTATTTAACTATTAGTGCGCCGAAAGGAGGGTGAAAATGGGGGAAGATGACTCATTTAGGGATGCTCAGGTGAGGGATGGAGGGATGGTCTTCCAGACATTCCTGCCTGGAACTCCACCCCCACCCCTTCCCCATTTTCTGAGTGGCAATCGGTCTGGGATCTTGCGGTGGGAGGGCGTCCCCGAGGAGCCACAGAAAGCTCTGTGGAGGTAAGGACGCTGCTGACCCCAGGTCGCTTGTGTGAGCATGATAGCCTGACTGGGCCCCCTCACCTAAGTTTCCTCTCACCACCGCCCCCCACCTAGTCTGCAGAGCCCTGGAAGGCAGCACCTGGGGAAGGGGCCTCCTAATCTTCTCCTTAAGTCCTGGGCACCTAAAGGAGCCCTCGGAGCCAGATGAGTTCTGACCCCTAGATGAGCTGGTGAAGCGACAAAAGAGGAGACTCAGCCCCCTACCTCCACCCATCTGCCTTGTCTGAACCCTACAGATTCTGCCCCAAGCCTGAGATGCCCCGAAGGGGAGACACAGAGAGAGCTGAGGGGTCAGGCCAGGGCTCAGACCTTCCCCATCGGCCGTTTTTCTCTCCCTTCTCCCGGACCGACCAGCCCAGCCGCTGCTCACCTCCCTTCAGGGGCCCAGTCTTTGCCTCATTTGCATATGCCGCAGAACCGCTTTGCGCAAACTAGGCAGTGACCTTGAACTGGGCCACTGTGGCCTCTCGACTGACGGGAATAAGGTAGCACCGCGCGAAATAATTCCGACCTCGGGTTGGCGGGGAAGCCCCAATTACAGCCGCTCACAGCCGCTCGGCGGTGGCCTAAGCCTCCGGCAGCCGCTTTGCCCCTGCCACTAGAGCCAGCGTAGATTTCGTAGTAACTCCTCTCGCCTGGCTCGGCGGTGGCGGCTACTCAAGGCCCCGCGCGGGGGCCGTGAAGATGCCGGAGAGACGGAGGCTTAGAAAGAGAAGGTGCGGGAGAGGCGGGGGGCAACCAGCTGGTGGATGCGAGGAAGCGCGAGGGCTGCCGCGGATCTTCAAAGAAAACCTTGCACCACGTCCTGGCCTTCAGTTTTAATTAACCCCTGAGTTAATGAGCTTGGTATGGTTGAGCCAGGCCAGCTGCGGCAGGAACCTGTGGTCCAGTGGCCAGCAGGCAGTCTACCTCTTCTAACCGTACGATTTGATGAATGTACGGAAGAGTGGGCGCACAGTTCGCTCCGCGGGTCCAGAGCCTGGGTCTGGCCATTATCGTTTTTGCATGTGGGCTGCGAAAAGCCGGCGGATTAAACCCGGCTGGAAGCGGCTGCCCAGCACCTTGGGCTGCAAGTCCTTCCCATTCTCCTCACCCAGTCCCTGTCGGGTCCTGGCAAACAGCTCTCGCCGAGGCTGGGTTTAGATCTAAGGCTTCGCACCCGAGCCTCCCGTCGGCCCCGGGGACCCAGGTTGGGAGCGGAGCTCTGAGGCCTGTTAGTCCGAGCCGGTTAATGAAGGGGCGCCTGAACTGCGTGTGCGGCGGGCCGCCTTAAAGGCGAACAGAACCGCAGTGGTGCATGAGGAGGTTGGGCGTCTAGACTGCCTGGGTCCTCGCCGGGTCCTGAAAACCCCTAGGTTCATTTTGAGCCTCGAGGAGCAGGACACTAGGCGTGTAAATTTTGCTGGTGGTCTTCTGTAGCTCTCCCTGAGAGGAATCAGGTTCGGCGGCACAGAAGCTAGAGGAGTTTGTGCGTGTACCAGTGCTCAGAGTCTGAAACATGAGAAAAATGGCCTTTTTTGATGGGGCCAAATTGGGCTGGGAGAAACTGCATGGCTGGAAGAAGGAAGCCTTCACTCCATCCTCATTTCCCCTGCCTAAGCATCTGCCGCCCTGTGGCCGCAGCTCTGCGTGCTCAGCGGCCTGGAGGGGAGGGCAGCGAGCAGAGCTCCGGGCCTAAGATGCGAGCTAGGGAGGGATGGGGAGAGGCTAAGACCATCCTCCTGGGGTTCCTCTTGTAGGAGGTTGTAGCCATCTGGGAGAAAAAAAAAAGAATGGGGAGAAGCCTCTACCCCATAAGGACTAGTGATTGCCCGGCAAAGCTCAGTTCGGCATCCCCCACACCAACAATAGCGGCTCAGCGCGATGCATGGAGGCCTGGAGGCCTGGAGATCTCGCCGGCGGCGCAGTGTTCTCTGATTGAAAACAGCAACGATGTTAAAGTCACACTCTGTTTATAACCAAAAATAACCCTCAAATAAATTTTTGAAAAATTAAAATTTCAGTAACGCTTGTTAATACATCTTGAAAGGGGGGCATAAATAAGACGTTGGAAATGCCATGACGTGGATTTTGCAGCTGAGGGATGCGCCTCTGTGCAGTCGCTCAGCTCCTTAATCAATTAGACATAAAAAGGCTAATTCAGGCTTTCTCCTGCTCGCTCCTCGGCGCCCCGGCTATCATGGTTCTGACTGGAGATGACTGCGTGGGGCTGGCATCCCATCGCTTGGCCTCGGTTCCGGCAAGTGGTCCCGGCGCGGATCGGGCTTCTAGGCGCGGGTGGGATCTGGCCGGGCAGCCTGGCAGGCCAGGGCGGGGAAGGGGAAGCGGGGCTAGCAGCGAGCTGTGAGCTGTGCCCAGCAGGGTGACGCCCGCGCGGACACATCTCTTTAGAAGTGAGTAGCTTTGGTTTGGGATATGAAATCGCCGGGGGGAGCTGTGGAATTCAAAGAATCTGCGTTTCTCTCTGCCATGTCCTGTAGAAGAGAGAAAAAGAGAGAGATGAGAATCTTCTGCTTCGGTCTGCTTTTGTAGCTTCCACTTATTCTCAGATATTATACTTTTCACCTACATGGGTTTCTCGCTCCCATCTTCTCTTGGATTCTGTCATCTCTCTAATTTTCTCTAAATCTTCCGGTATTTTCTCATAATTAGGCTTTTGCTGAACTATTTATCTCACCTGGTATTACTTAAAGCCGTACTTTGCATAGGAGCCTGAAATAGCCACATAAAAATCTGAGTATTTTGTCTACTAGACCCCAATAGAATACACCTAGTTTTGAAGGTTTTTGTTTCTTTTTTCACTTTAATCCACTTGGCTGTGTCTGTGGACTTGGTTGAGAATGGATTGTGGTTTCCAGATGTCGGTTAATTTCACCAATGGCCAGCATTGTGTTTTCAGCCTTTTGTGGAAGGAGCTGCTGAGGTTAGCACCATAAACATAATTTTAAACTCTCAACAGGATAATTCTCTAGAGTTCTTTCCCTCATTCCCAGAACACCTACTGGACTGGCTGGTGTTATCTGATGGTCCCAGTGGCAAGCTGGACTGGTTGTGGGATGTGGGTGTCTCCTCTGCAGTGGGAATCAGAAGCCTCTTGGGCCAGCCAAGCCCTGCTGGGAGCCCAGAGCCTCTTTCTGCAAAGACTCCAAAAGACACACACACACATACACACACACACACACACACACACACACACACTCTCTCTGTCTCTCTCTCTCTCTCACACACACACACTCTCTCTCTCTCTCTCTCTCACACACTCTCTCTCACACACACACACAATCCCTCTATCCCACAGAAGTCACAGGGAAGAGTAGTTCAAGCCCCAAATTTTCAAGAGCAGGCAGGCAAGTTCTTGTTCAGCTGAGCGCTTCCTTTTTCTGCTTCTGCCTCCCTTCTGCATCCCTCCTCTAATGGGGAGTGAAGGTGTGAGGTGAGTGGCTCCCCACTGGTGAGTGGGGAGGACCTGGCATTAGCACTTCTCCCTGGGCCCTTCCAGGAGGAGAGGACACCAGGTGTCTTCCCAAATTCCTGAGGAGAAAGAGCCGAGGAAGAGGAGCACAGAAGTAGGGCTGAGAGAGACAGCGGCAGGGAAACCTGTCTTTACTCACACCTCACCTCTACTGTAAATAAACCCCGAGCCAAAGGGCTCATCCGTCTCCTTAAACAGCCAGTAAACTTTATATGACACAATATCTAATAGTAATTTATTGGGGAGATATTGTAAATTCCAACGGTTTTAGTTAATAAAGGAGCTAATTAAAGAGGGACGGGCTGTGCTTGGCCAGCTGTTGGTGAGAAGATAATACACTGGGGTGGGGGTGAGTGCAGGATGCAGAAGTGTGTATGTGCGGGTGTTTTTGGTGAGGCTGGTTTTCCTCTTTGCCCCGTGTCAGGCGATTACCTCGCTCTCTGCGTTAGGTTTTATATGATTTTTTAAAAACCAGAAGCCAGCGAATAAATCTGCCCCAGCAGTTTGTTCCCTCGCTGCTCACCCCCCCCCGCGCCAAGATTGGGGAAGGGGGAAGTTGGAGTTGGTGCGGGGTGGGGGGATTCGCTGTCCCCACCCATCCCTCTGGCAGCAGCGCCCACGTGAGCTGGACGGCCAATGGGTGGCCGGTGCAGGTTTAACTATGTTTAATGTCAGATAGCAATAAAGTAGAAGCTGCCGGTTGGGCCCCGCGGAAATGGGCGAGCATAATCTCCTGAATCCCGGGTTTGTGGGGCCGCTGGTGAACATCCACACGGGAGACACCTTCTACTTCCCCAATTTCCGCGCGTCCGGTGCGCAGCTGCCCGGGCTGCCTTCGCTGTCCTACCCGCGCCGCGACAACGTGTGCTCGCTGCCCTGGCCGTCGGCGGAGCCGTGCAATGGCTACCCGCAGCCCTATCTCAGCAGCCCGGTGTCGCTCAACCCGCCCTTCGGCCGCACGTGCGAGCTGGCGCGCGTGGAGGACAGCAAGGGTTACTACCGAGAGCCGTGCGCCGAGGGTGGCGGCGGGGGCCTGAAGCGTGAGGAGCGCGGGCGCGATCCCGGCCCAGGAGTCGGGCCCGGAGCAGCGCTGCTACCGCTGGAGCCGTCGGGGCCGCCTGCGCTCGGTTTCAAGTACGATTACGC